GAAACCCTAAGATTATTATTTTTTTTTTATATGGAAGTTAGTTTCTTTCAACATTGGAAAAGAAAAAAACTTGTTTTTATTGGCATCAATCTCATGGTTTGCACTGGAAATTTTGCCTTTTGTATCATAAAACAGAGTCTGTCCTCTGTTGAATGCGTTATGGCTTGAAATGGGAAAAGACAAAACCATTAATGCTACTCACTTTAACTTTTTTCTTGGAAGCTCCATTAACCCAACAGATCCGGTTTGGAACGAACCGGAAAACTAATTTGATTTGGTTGTTTTAATGTATCTGAAAAGAAAACGAATTTGGCTTCTTAATTTTGTGTTGACTCTTTTATTACCATGGTCCTGAAAAATACTAGATTCGATTACGTTTTACACTTGCACATTGGTTGCTATTTCTTGAAAACACTATCTGACCGAGACAGACCAAAAAAATATAAATTGAAGGAAAATTTTAAATTCATTTGATTAAATTCCTATAAATTAATGTAAAAATAACCAAAGTAAGGCGAAGGCCCACAAAACAAGAAACGGGCTTAAAAGTTTGGCCCAATATATCTGCTAAATGACGCTAATGTCCTGAGATCATAGAAGAACGTTGCGCAACTATAATAAGTAAGACGGGATAGTGAAGAGTAGAGAAGGGGTAATATAGTCAATTCATTTGTTTCGCTTGGTCCGATCGTCTTTTGTGTCGTCATCTTCGTTGAATTTCAAGTTTTCAATCTCTTCCCGCTTACGAGGCCGGAAAAATTCTTACCAACAGTCGAATCAACACCGGCCGATCGATTTCCCCATTTTCGACCCGGAACTTCGCCTACCTGTTTCCGAGTTCCGACGAGATTTTCTCACTGTGAGTATAAAAACCCTAGCGAAACGATTTCGGTTTCCCCTTCTTCAGATCTCGGACGCTGCTGGACTCTTTTTTAAGGTTAGGGGTTTAGAAAGTGAGGGTACAGTAATGGAGAAGGATCTCTTAGATATCTCTGGAGAAGACGAAGACTATTGGCTTCTGAAATCTACGCCGAAGAAAGGCGTTATGCCGTTTGCCGGTGGTAATTCCGGCCGAGAAATGAGTTATATGGATTGTTCACCCCTCCAAATCCCTAGATCGAGTCGTAACGTTTGTACTCGACCTCCTTTTTCTCCAATTGGTAAGCGTTTCGATTCTATGGATCCGAGTTTTGTTCTGATAAACATTTTCTTACTTTTGTGAAATGATAGCTTTACATGGTCTAATTGAGTTGAATATCGTATATTGTTGGCCTCCCTGAACTAGTTTATCACTTCCCCATTCACTGGATTTTTGAATCTGAACTAGTATACCTTTTAGCATTGTTTGAAATTTGGATGTTCAGTATGTAGCAGACACTTGTGTATAATGCAGATAAATGAATGTCAAATCTTTTTGCAGGAGGATCAAAAGGCAACAGCAACATGGAGCAGCCGAGCGGTTCTGTTAATACAGACAGTATAGGCAAGGAGAATACTGGTGGGATCAAATTTGAATTGCCTAAACTAAGTGTGGAGAGGCAACAGATGAAAAAGAAGAAAAAGAATGCGGGATTTAACTTGCGGAAAAGCTTAGCTTGGGATAAAGCTTTTTCAACAGAAGAAGGTCACTGTTTATCGAATTCTTTGCCTTTTGTTTGCTGTAATTTAAAAGGTCATAGGCTTGGTCTATGGCACTAACATGTGTAATATGGTCGGGTGAACCAGGTGTTTTGGATCCAGTTGAGCTATCTAAAATAACTGGAAATGCTTGCCAAACTGGTGGAGGTCTGTTACCTGCCATTCAGGAAGAGTTCAGAGAGTCAATGTCAGCTTCGAAATGTACTAGCGTTTCACCAGGACTACAAGCACTTGAAGAAAACTTATTTAACGACTTGCCTTTGAATAGTAAAAGTAGAGAGAAGAAGAAGATGAGTGGCATACTGTCGAAGTACGCATCACCATCTAAAGCCCAATCTTCCTTGGTGAGTTTACTGGATATGAATTGTGGATTTTTTAATGGAGTCAATGAGGCGATCAGTTGTTTCTTACAATGTTTCTTTCCATCTAAATGTTGAATGTATGCGTTTTAGGCCCAGAGAAAAGTTACTCCAGCTCAGGACTTGAGGAGCGGTACAAAACGCAGTGGCTGTCCCCGCCCTCCTCCTTCATCTTCATATCCTTTTCTTACTTACTGTACTTGGTGTTAAGGCAATCACCATCGTTGGCTGCTTCCATGCTTTTCTGGTTTTGTCCTTTTCGCTTGTTAACCTTAACTTCTTTGAACTCTGAAAAGACCTGCAAACATGTATACAACTACACCACATGGCAGAGAGCTGAGCGTATCTAAAGTTTCTACTACCAAATCTGATCCACCTACATTTGCAACTAACATGACGAGGATGATTCAAAGTCCAAGCAAAGCGAAACAAAGTCAACCTACTCAATCAAGTATGTCCACATCCAGTTAGCAAATGGAACCTATGCATCTCATAACGTTTTTTTTTCTTACTTTCTACGCAAATACCTTTGTGGCATCTTGTTTATATATTGCTACATGATCACATTAACATGGTTATTTCTTCTGATACGAACAGAGAATTCTCAGAGGAGCTTAGGATCTGTAAGCTTCTCTAATAGCACCAAGAGTAAAACAAAATCCAGCCTGGCGAGCAAGTCTTCAATCCCTAAGCCCTCCATTAAGCAAGCTAGAAGAAATGTGGTAAAGCTATGCTGCCCTCTGCAAACCAATTTTTCAATTAGATTATGCACTACAAATCTGTAGCAAATGTTTTCTTCCCATAGTCTTTCAATTGAGAGTAACATGTTGCATTTTCTTGAACTCTAGGTCAGCAAATCATCAGAAGTTCCTTCAGTATCCAACTCACAGCATTCTGTTGCTGGGAAGTCCAACGTTGGCCCTATGACTACAGCAGATGTGGCTATGCTTGGTCATACTTCAAATTTCCCGAACTCTAATGTAATTACTATGGGCACCTCGTTAGCCCAAAGTTCTTGCAGTAGAATTGGAAGAATGCAATCCGCAGTTTCACGACTGGGAAAGCCATCAGGTTTAAGAGTGCCATCTCCTTCAATTGGCTATTTTAGTCAGGTATATTATTGAAATATACTGAAGTCTTTCATGTTTCATATCTTTTAAGTTGCTGTTGAGTGTCATTACTACGGGTTTGAGCACTTAATCTCTCATACTTCGTATTCCTGAATTTTGCAGTCCGATTCTCAACCACCGCACAGTGCAGGAGACAAACATAGCCAGCTAACTAGGTCTTCTTTGATCCCTACATCAAAGAAACCCCAAGTTGCTGAAAAAGTTCCCCGTCTTAACTCCAAGTCAGCAACTGGAAACATCGGCAGGTTGGGTCCAGCTGCAGGTTTCTCTTCTCAATCAATACTCCCCAAACCTTCCGTGAAAGTAGACTTGAAAAGCACTCGGGAAGTAGAATCCAGAGTGTCGTCTTGTACATTGAGTTCTCAGGTAAATGAAAGTGAGCAGCATCCATGTATCATTCAAGGTGATACTGGAAAATTAGTTCTGGATGATGTAGCTATTTGTACATCAGAGAAAGTTGCCACTGCATACTGTGAAGAATTCCAGAGTAACAGTGAGCTGCCACCCTCAGATTGCCCAGATAACGTAGAAGACAGTAACAGAGTTGAGAAAAAGAAGACTTGCTGGTCAGTAAAAGAATACTATGTTTTACCGCTGAAACATGGTCCAACTCTTAAAGATTCCATGGATTCTCCAGTGCAGAGTCCTTCTGTCGATGACTTGACACTAATTATTAACTGCTCAGAGATGAAAGGCAGCAATACAGGGGAAGAATGTATTTATACTGCCAATGATTTTGGTGGAGATGTTGATAAGTTGGATGTACATGGACAACCACTAAATGAATGCGTAAGCCCTGGAAATGAAGACGAGATTAGTCCTTTCCTTTCTGGAGATAAAGATTCGTTAACTGTCAGTTGTTCTACTGAAAATGTAGCAAAGCAGCCTGAGGCTTTAGATTCCTTCACTGCAGAGCGAGCTCTCCTTGAGGATTTTTCTTCAAGAAAAAGTGATGTAGATTATCTATCTTCTTCAGAAATTCGGTTAGGCAATACTGAATCCGTTTTCGTTCCTTCAGGGCCTGCTGAAGCACCAGATTGTGTTCAATCACCATGCAACCATCTTGAGAAAAATGCAGAGTCGAACTCTATTCTGTGTGGTGATAACATGGTGTGTGATGGTCAAGCTGTAGAAGAAACAGAGAAGATAACTGAAGTAAGCAATATCACAGAGAAAAACTGTGAGGCTGATTTTACTGGTCCATTTCCCGACTGCAAATACTGGTTTAGAGAATCTGAAGAACAGCATTTCTTATGCCAGTCAGTCCTTGAGGGGAAAGAGGGTAGTCAGGAACTAGATGTCTTGACCAGAAACGAAAGAGCAGATAAAGATGATGGTCCTGATATGCAGATCGACTATTTTACTGGTTCTCCTGATGTTGAACAAAACATAGAACAAGTGAGGATGCTAATGCCTTCCTCCACTGAAGTGAGGATAGAGGATAAGCCTTCCTCTCAGAAACTAACCTCTGAAAAGCATAAGCAATACAACTGTTCTAGTGTCGCAAATACATCTGATGTAAAGGCTGATCAAGTAATGAAACAGATTGAACAACTTGGAGCATCAGATGGTTGTGCTCCAGCAAAAGCTATATCGGCTGCTGTTTTTTCATATTCAAATGAGGAGCTTGAAGATAACTCAGAGCTGGAAGATATGGATCTGGTTACTGAGTCAGATTGTTCAGATGAGGAGTCCGAGGGTAATTTGGATCTGAAACAAGTGGATCTGGTTACTGAGTCAGAGCTCATGAGTGACCTCAATGAGTTTTCTGTCAAGGGCATTCTTAGTCAAGAATATCTGGAAGTAGAGACTATCCATACTGACTCGGACCTGTGTGGAAAAACTAAAACTCTACTAAGTGAATCAATCAGTTCCTCGCCTTCTATGTTTGGAGATCCTGAGCGTCTAAATGAGGATACAAATTTGTCCAGAGTCTCTGAAGCCATGTTGAATGAGGATTCCACTTCTGGACATATGGAGCATTACTATGTGGAGAAAGCTAAAATCCAGACAGATACTGAAGAGGATCTCGGTGCTCATGTTACTGAACAAGAATTCATTCCTCACGAAGAAGAGGAAGTACAAGTTACAAAGACCTCTCCTGATCCTGTAGCATTTGCGGCCAGAGAGGAAGAATCAGAAACTCCAATACCCATGGATGAGGCTTTCTCAGTAGTAGATGTTATGCAGCCTAACGAGCAAAATGTGCTGAGCAATGACATTCTGACATCAGAAAGCAATGGGGCCCATGCTACTGAAAGCAGTAGCAGTTGTACATGTAAATCAGAAGGCAAGGATCAGATGACACTACGGTAAGTAATCTAATCCAGTCTCCACTAGTAAGCTTTTTCTATTCCTCTAGCACATCTTATGTTTAAGAATGAGCTGATAGTTTATTGTTTCAGCAGGGATGAGAAGAAACCTAATCCTATTATTGTAAAGCCTCCAAATGCTGTTCCATTTTCTGATGAATGGTTAGCTGCAATTGAGGCTGCTGGGGAGGTATAAACTAATTAAAATTTTCTCAAATATTTGCATGATGAAACCCATGATGATGAACTGAAGATCCAGTTGCTGTTATTACATATGAAAATTGAGTTATTTGGCAATGCCTTAGCAGATCTCCTCTTTGAAATATGCAGGAAATCTTAACACTGAAAAGTGGACGTGTACAACATTCACCAACCGAAAAATCTGCTCCTGAACCAGGTCCTTGGTCTCCGGTATATTCCTCTCTCATTACCATTTGCCCGTGAATCTGAACAAGTGTTGATAAAAGGAGACGTTGGGACTTTTAAAACATTTTGGACTTGATTAGTTTGGTTGATTTTCTACCAGTGTAACAGATTTTTCTATAATTTTCACTAACTAATCAGATAGCTCCATTGCAAAAGAGAAACTCATTTGGCTTTTTTTGTGATATGGCCAGGTGAAGAGGAAGAACAATCAAGTAGTAGGACCATTTGACTGTACAAAGTATACAAACAAAGGTCTTCCTCCTGCTTTAGACTAAAATCCATGTTACTTCTAACTTCACCATTTTTTTTCACTACTAGAGGTTAAAACTTTGTTGAAGACACTGAAACTCTTTTATTTGTATACTTGAGAAATAAAATGTGTAGAAAGAAGTTGCTATACAAGAGCAACTTTTCATCATCATTTCTTGAGATATATTCTTCATTAAGTTGAATCTTAAATATAGAGATGTCTGATATAGTAACTAGGAGAATTTTACACGTAAACATTGTTGTGTGCATTCTCTTATCAATTTCTATGACATTTGCAAGCTTGTGACCAAATTCGCGAGTCATTAAGAAGAGCCTGATCAGGGCTAGCTCATCATGGACCATGACGAGTTATTTGTCTTTGTCCTTGTTCAAATCTACAACCCATAGCATATTATGTCTTTCGATCTTCTTCATTTCTCCAATTCCTCCGTTAGAGATGTAAATAACATTTAAACAAACAGATGGAATTTCAAAGACTATTCACATATCCAATAGAACTGAAGTGGAGAAAGAGGTAGTAAAAGCACATGTAGTGCGTATAGGCTCTCATAAATAGGACAGATTTATTGAGAGATTTTTCAGCTACACAGAACAGATTAGCCGTTTCTGTTGGAAATAAACAGGAAAGTCCAAACAATCTACCAAATCTTTTTGTTTCAATTGATTGCATGTTGAAATTAATTAGTATTCATTCTTTTCTTTATATCTGGGGTCAAAACTTTACATTAATTATCGGTCCACTCACTTTCTGATTTTAAATTTCCCACTAGCCATCTCCATGGTTTTTATGTGAGAATTTGGATGTATTAAATGTATATTATCATTTTCAAAATTACACATTCATCATAAAAATAATATGTAATTTGTTCATTTTATTCTATCTGATGTGCTATATATGAAAATAATACTTGTAATTATGCAGTTAACAAAAAAAATATTCTGGTTAAACCGTACTGAAATCTGACTTTTTATGGTTTTTGGGGTCAACTTTTGACTCATATTTAATAATATTGTTTGTGTCACTATCACTAGTTTATTTACGTAAAAAGATTTAGTCAAATATGTGGTTGGGTAATTTTGGTAATAACATGAAATTTCTAAAGTCAAGAAGATTTTATGTGGTTGGGTAATTTTGGTAGTAATATGAACAGTTTTCCTTATACAAAAAATGAAAAAATTAAAACAAAACCGACGAATATAAACCGGATAACGCAAACCGAACCGGCCTTAAATAGTAAATAAATGACGAATCGAAGGGCAAAAGTTTAGGAAACCCATTTTTTTTTTTTATTATTATTTAACAAGACAGCAACAACGCGGATCTGGTCCAATAAAAAAAAAATATTAAGCCATCGCTCCAAAAATCATAGCCATCCATTTTCTCTCTCTCGTTGCTTCCCAATCTCCAGCTCTCGTTTCGTTCGAGCTCTTCCCCTTTTCTCTTCATCTCTCAATCTTCAATCTCGAGAATCGTATGTTCTTTTTCACCTCTTGTATTCAAATAGTTTTTCAATCGCAAAACCCTAATTCTGTTTTTGGTTCAAAGGGTT